GAGCGGTTTATATACCCGGCGTATCCACTCATCTGTCTGTCGGCCGCCTTTGCTATAGAGATGGTCCAGAAGGCACTGACGGCTATTATTCCCCGTTTGACTTACTTTTACTCATCATTAGTCTTAGTGTTTGCGATTGTATTCGCATTTCTCTCAATATCTCGTGGATTAGCTCTTTATAAGGGTTAGTAAATGAGTCAAAACATAATTTGTTTGGATTTTGATATAAAATGTTTGTGCGGTATGTCTGTCCCCATAGGATATCACGCGCCGATGGATATCTACATGGAATTGGGAAGAGTTCACAACGATTACAACATATCTTCGTTGAAAACTCCGGTCAATGTCTGTGTTGGCAAAGAGTGGTACAGATATCCGTCGAGTTTCTTCCTCCCGTCGACTAAACACTGGAAATTGCAATTCATTCGCTCAGAATTCAGGGGACAACTGCCACAACCCTATCAGTCGGGAAGCGGTGGCACTCGAGTCATACCTCAACACATGAATGATCTCAATCTCGAAGAGCCGTCACGTTATGTCAATGTCTCTGAATGTCATTTCTTGATCGACACGGACACCGCCGATGCCAATGGCTATGAATTACAGTTCTCTCGCGACACAGAGAACTGGGAGTCCATCCAATCCCTGCCATTCCTCGACACGAAGAACTCGCCCACACTTTTCCGAGCATTTTATGTGCCATTCATCACAGAATCGAAATGCAATTTCGTTGACTATAATCTGTTGCGAAACAAGCGACTGAACCTCACGTTTGATACCTAACCCATCGGACAATTGCTTTTGAATCTAGTCTTCGAGACTGAGGACTCATTTCAAAACTAATTTCTTAGTCATATTTTGCAACAAATCCTCAATTATACAGTCATTACTGGATTAGAATTACGACTAATACTATACAAGTATGATATATGATAACAATAACTGTGTTTTTTAATCGTTTTCTATTCTCATTATTAGTTGAGAATAAGTTAACATGAATTTGAATGCATTTTTTGTTTGTAAAACACTATTTAATGCAAATTATTGTCCCCTAATTGTGATTATAATTACCGGTATTTTATTTGGATTTAATTTGTTTGCGACAAATAATATAATAAGTTTTCAAGACTTGAGTTTTGATGTAATAGCGATTGATTGCAACGATAGTAGAGTTGAGCATAACTTATATGATATGATAGAGTAGTATAGGAAACGAGTGGGAGAGTGGGTGTCATTGAATGGAGTGATGCACTGGTAGTCAACATATGCCTGGCATTTGTTTTGACGTTTCACTGGACTGTCAGCCCATTGCTCGCAACAATTCATCACTAATTGAAAGGCATTTCTTTCGACATTCATCTCAGAAAGTGTTGATCTGTGGAGCACTCTATAGACACATATGATGTGACTATTTGTATGAATAATTGAATTGAATATTAAATGCCAACAAATTGGTGTCAATGCGAGTGAATGGAGTGTTTGCTGTGTATTCGTCGGTGTTTTGGTCTCTCGGGTCACACCTCTTACTCTCTGGTGAAGGACCAACTCATCCCCAAAGTCGTCTTGGACACCACCACTATGGGTATGACATGCCTGAACCACCACTATTTCCATGCCATATAACCATCACATTGATTGCCATGAATGACAGGTAATGATGTGGTGATCGTCAAGAAAGGGCACCGAATCTGCGGCACCGGTGGGGCCATCACTACCGCTCCCATCGTCCAGAATAAGGCCTACTTCGAGGTTAAAGTACAACAAACAGGTAATTGTGAATCCAATTGACCACACGTTGACAGTATTTATAGACTTGATATTTGTGTCAATTGTATATAACATTTGGTTTTAATTAAAATATATTAGATTTTAGACTAATTTTGAAACCATTTGTGGATTTGTTATGGGTTTTGATGTATTAATCGATTATCTATTAAATGTCTTATGGGCTGTCATTGGTTTGGACAGGCATTTGGGGCATAGGGTTGGCCACCAGTAACGCGAACCTGAGTACCGTTCCGCTCGGAATCGATAGCCAGAGTTGGGTCTTAAGACAAGACGGGAATATAGTTAACGAAAATCAAATCATTCATTCATTAACTGAAGAGATCCAAGAGAGTGATGTGATTGGCATTACCTA